TGCTACTCTAACGTAATACAGATTTTTATCATCAGTCCAAAAATTTCTCAGCAAAAAGAGATATGAATTGAGAAAAAAGTTTTCCTGTGCTCAGAAGGCTCTAGGTAGTAAAATTTTTCTTCTTGCTTAACTTATTGCAATTATTATTAGAAGCAGATAGCTCAGGAAAGCAGCGTAAATATATCACAAATTTTGTTAATTATTAAACACAAAAATTAAAAATTATTTGGGAATTTCTTAATGAGATGAATGGGGGAATTTACAGTACCCTGATTAAAGGGGAGCAATACCTTAGAGCAACTTCCTATAATGAGATTAGAAATGTGTGAGAGTTGAGCCTTTCTTTTAGTAAAGCCAGAGAAGGCATGGTGAGAAAGGCACTTTCCCAGGTTTATGTGGAAAATGACTCACTTAAAACTGTAATGTTCCCACGTAACCCTTATCAAATTTCCAGGCAATCCCAAGGTACCCTTACTTCAATCTGAAGACACTGCTACTGAATAAAATCCAAACTCCTCCACCACCCTCTCCAGCTTTACTTCTTACCATATTCTACCTTCCTACCACAATTTACTATTTGCGGCTTTCTGAACCCCATGCTGTTTCACATCTCTTGCCTGACCATTTCCTCTCCACCTGATGGACATCTATTAAACTACTGATGTGAAAATGTCCCCTTGCTATAAAGACTTCCCTAGGTTTCCTTTAAAAAATGGACCAACACTCCTTCATTCTCCACCTAGCATTGTGCCAAATCATATCATAACACCTATAACATACTTATCTCCATTTACTAGCTGAAAACTACTTGAAAGAAACCTATTTTATTTACCTTTAAACTTATTTTGTGCTTAGTACATAGTTGGTGCTCAATAAATATTAGCTGAATGAAGAAATTAGAGAACACTCAAATCTCAATTTCCTTTTTGATAAAATTTTGTGTAATAAGATTCCAATTTTTTTTTTCCTTTTTGTCTTTTTTCGTGTCCGGCAACGGATCGCAACCCTCAGTGTTGCGCCCGTACCGGACCGGGACCGGCAACGGGATCGCAACCCTCGGTGTTGCCCCCACACCTCGCTCAGCCAGTGAGCGGGAACCGGTCTGTACGTGGGATCCGAACCCTCGGCGGGAGCGTCACCGTGCTTCCCAAGCGGCGCACTGTAGCAGTGCGCCACTGGGCCGGCCCTAAGATTCCAATTTTAAAGAAATACAATAATTTTCTGAAATTCCTATAAATGTTCTACTTTCGGATTACTTCTCTCTCTCCACTATGATCTCAAACTGAAGAAAGCATTTTCACTACTTATAAAAAGTTGGGTATTGTATACCCTTTGTGATATCCCATCACGCAAAGTGATTCCATGATTTTAGGTTATCCTAAAAAATAACACTTTTCTCAGTGATTATATAAAAATATGACTTTAATTGATGGCTCCAACATAATTCCCTGCATGCTCTATCTTTTTTTTTTTTTTTCCTTTTTGTCTTTTTTACTGACCGGTAACGGGATCGCAACCCTCAGTGTCACGCCCGTACCGGGGACCGGCAACAGGATCGCAACCCTCGGTGCTGGGGTATGATTATATCCCCAGCTGCCTGAATTGAGTTCAGGTCCTGGGTCTACTCTTTACTATGTAACCTTGGACAAGTATTCAACTTGTATGTGCCTGAGTTTTAGCATCTACAACTGTGCAGTACAATGTTATGGCCATTAGCCACATTTACTCATCTGAATTTAAATTAATTAAAATTGGCCACATTTTAAGGGCTCAATAGCCACATGTGGCTAGAGGCTACCATACTAGACAGTATAGATACAGTTATGAAAATAAACAGGATCACGGTTGAGAATAACAAATGGGAGCAAGGGGTTCATAGTGACTACTTTACAATAGGTGGTCAAAAAAGGCCTCCCTGAGGTGTTGACACTTGAGCTGATACTTGAATGACAAGAGGCAGCTAGCATGCAAAGATCTGTAAAGAGCATCCAAGGCACAGACAATATGGAGGGCAAAGGCCTCAAGGCTCAAATGAGCTGGTTTAACAACAAAGGGTGTCTGAAGCATAAGAAATAAGGGCAGAGGAGTATGAGGTCCAAGAAGTAGCACAGGCCTTATAAGCCCTGTAAGAACTTTGAGTTTTATGTTAAGTGTAGTCAAAAGCCATAGAGGGGGCCGAGCCCGTGGCGCACTTGGGAGAGTGCGGCGCTGGGAGCGCAGAAGCACTCCCGCTGCGGGTTCGGATCCTATATAGGGATGACTGGTGCGCTCACTGGCTGAGCGCAGTGCCGCCGGTCTCGAAAAGGACAAAAAAAAAAAAAAGCCATAGAGGGTTATAAAGACGGGAATGTTGTAACCTAAAGTATGTCTTAAAAGCCCAGACTGCTGTTGAGAACTAATTATAGAAACCAAGAGTGGCTGGAAGATCTGTTAGAAAAAGATGGTGCCTGGGCCGGCCCGGTGGCGCACTGGATGGTGCGCTGCTTGGGAAGCGCGGTGGCGCTCCCGTCCGAGGGTTCGGATCCCACGTACAGACCGGCTCCCGCTCACTGGCTGAGCGAGGCGCGGGAGCAACACCGAGGCTTGTGAT